TGACATTTTAAACCTTAATAAAAAATAGATACAGGGCTTTAGAATATCAATACAGTATCGGGAAATGAAATATCGCAATATTTCACTGTATCGATATTTTCTTACACCCCATCCACAATCTTATACCTTGAACTGAAGTGCATCAGTTCTTCAAATTTGTTCGAATTTTAGGTTTTATAAACATCTCAAGTCCCTTTAAGATTAAATAAACTTTCACTCTTAACAAAATATAACTGGATGTTTAAAGGTAATTTTTTATGAGCCTTATACATAATCTGCAAGATATTATTATCAACAAACTCATAAAATTTTAATGAACTCGATGGGTGACAGAAATGTTTTCTGGTGATAACTCTGACGGCTCTTTTCTGTCAAATAAAAATAGGATTTGTGATTGTTTTATACGCTTTGCCCCAGACTTCAACACAGTAAATCAAGTGCGGAACAATTATTGCATTAAATCATATAAATAGAGCTTTATCATTAAATAAGTCCCTTAAAAGTTCTTTAGTGTGACAATCTTCCCAAACAGATGCTTTTAAATATTTTGTATTGTCAAACAAACACAACAAAATTGTGTCAAGTGAATTGAAACAGGAAATGTGTGTCCATTATTGCAAATTATTTGATGCAGCATGCACAAATAACTTCTTCATGCAAAATCTAGCAAATGCACCTAATTTGGTTTTATATTAAACTGGCAGTTTTTCTGTTTTGTTTCACCGCAGAGACAGATCATCAAGATGAAAGCTACTTTGGCAAGAAAAGATAATTTTCCCTGACAGGTTTAGGTAAATACACAGTTTGTCAGCAGGACAAGGTTTCAGTGTGTGTCCATGAATTCAGATTTATTTTCCTCTGGTAAGGGCATTAYTTTGGTGACTCTTTCTTTAATGGCAGGGATTATATTTTATTTAGCTGACATCAGTATTCTGGTCACTGTGACCATGCGTCCCTCTCACAAACATGATCTCTCAGATAGAAGCAGAAGATCAGTGTGAGGGAAGGAAGCACTCTGACGGGACAATGGAGTGGAGGAAAGGGTTTTGTTCTCTTTGTTGCTCTTCAGGCTTGAATGAGCTGAAAATGTCAGGAAAACAGGAACAATAAATTGTTCAACTAAAAAGGGGTTCAGCTTTATGTTCTTCTTTATGTTCTTTAGGAAAGTGCAAAAAGCAATCAGTTAAACATAAATAATACATTTAACACATAAATGTTTTTATAACTTGGATGAATGTCCTTTATGACAACTGTGGGCTCAGTYAAACCAAACACATCATTCAAATTGAAAAGTTAAATACATAATCAATCAAATCAAAAATAACCGTAAAGGGTCTGCATTTCCTGCCAAAATGCAGTGTGGATGCTTAATGCTGAAAGATTTAATAATAAAACTGTTGAGGTCAGTTTGAACAGCTGACTTTTGCTGAAACAACAAATGGAGAAAAATCAGTTGAACAAAAAAACCTGCAGTTTCATTTGAAATAGCTAAAAATAAAAGAAGCTAAATCTGGTCAAAAAATGGGTTAAAAATAGGGATGCAAACAATTAATTGACTTACGATTAATATTATATAGATTAACCCTTCATGTTATCAAAAGACATTCTTGATTCATAAGAAAACTCAGGTTTTTAAGAAAACGGCTGCTTATCAATTAATCGTTAGTTGATCAATAAAATAATGAACTTTGCATTAATTCATTAATTAATTACATCCCTATTTAAAAAGCTAAGATAACAAAAAATCAGAGGGCACGTTTCCTGAAT